GGGTGGGGGACGGACGCCGAGGACACACGGACACCTGCGCTGAGCCCGCTCCTCAGGAGGGTGGGGGACGGACGCCCAGGACACACGGACACCCGCGCTGACTCTGCTCCTCAGGAGGGTGGGGGACGGACGCCGAGGACACACGGACACCCGCGCTGAGCCTGCTCCTCAGGAGGGTGGGGGATGGACGCCGAGGACACACGGACACCTGCGCTGACCCTGCTCCTCAGGAGGGTGGGAGACGGACGCCCAGGACACACGGACACCTGCGCAGACCCTGCTCCTCAGGAAGGTGGGGGATGGACGCCCAGGACACACAGACACCTGCGCTGACCCTGCTCCTCAGGAGGGTGGGGGACGGACGCCGAGGACACACGGACACCTGCGCAGACCCTGCTCCTCAGGAAGGTGGGGGATGGACGCCGAGGACACACGGACACCTGCACTGAGCCCCCTCCTCAGGAAGGTGGGGGACGGATGCCGAGGACACACGGACACCTGCTCAGACCCTGCTCCTCAGGAGGATGGGGGACGGATGCCGAGGACACACGGACACCCGCGCTGACCCCGATCCTCAGGAGGGTGGGGGACGGACGCCCAGGATACACGGACACCCGCACTGACCCTGCTCCTCAGGAGGGTGGGGGACGGACGCCGAGGACACATGAACACCTGCGCTGAGCCGGCTCCTCACAGCAGGCCTGAGCGGAGACCATGCACAGCGAGGTTGAAGCATACACTCAACCAAGATCACCCGGCTCACACACACAGGGTCCCTGACCCTAACCCGGGGTCTCAGAATCCAGAGTCTTAGTTCTTTCTGCAGTACCCTGCTGCCGTTAGGTTAAGGCCTTTGTGGGAGTGCGTGTTTCCCGTTAGCCACTGTTACCCGCGCAGTCACCCAACTCTGTGACCTCCCGCGTACACCTCCACTGCACAGATGATCCCCTGAGTCCAGTCTCGGTCTCTCAGAGACTCCTCACTGCGTAGGACCTCTGGCCAGAGCCTCCAGGACTCTTAAATAACTTAACCCATGTTTGAGGCTTCACCAAAGCTGCTCGAGTTTTTATAATAGTTTTTTAGAGAGGGGGTTCTAGTTCTCTTGCCTGAGCCCCAGTGCCGCGTAACTCACTGCCCCCTTGAACTCCTGGGCCCAAGCGCTCCTCCTGCCTCAGGAGAGACTGCTATTATAGGCACCTGCAATGCCCAGTGAGGATTTCTAGCTAAACACACACAATTTTAGAAAAGAGAAAAGAATTAAGACATTTTGTTTTTCCTGGATGTGTATCTATTGGAATAGTGTTACCTTTGAGGACTAGGAAACAAATTTAATTCCACATAACTCTTATATAATTCAATGTTTTTAATTAGGTAATGTTGTCATATTTTCCACTGAAGGTTTTTTCTGTCCCCAAGAAGCACTTTACAATTCAATTTAAATTTATCTCAATTAATGCTGCATCTTATTTGAGATGAAAGCTAAAAAATAAATAATGACAAGTGAGACTATTGCACATGGAACAGTTGAAGGGCGTTTTCAAGACAAAGAAAACCAAAACTCATTTCTGATCAATAGACTATTTATTGCTACCATTACCTTTTAACACACAAAATATTCCAAAGTACAAGGTATATATGCCAATACTGCTTTGAACTGGAGAATTATTTGCTTTTAGAGTACACATGTATATCTAAATGATGAATGATTATAATGTGTGTGCATATATATTTACCCCTAGATACTTAGTGAAAACATGCTCTTTGGTTATTAGTTAATACATTGTTTACTGTGAGATGCAAGGTACATGACTCTCAAATTACAGAACATTTAGAATTCTTAGGGAAGTTACAGGAAGGAAGTTAGGAGTTTCATGATTAGATAAAACATTTGGGTGGAATCACTACTGGGCAGCACTCAAAATCATCAGTGCTGTGAGGGTTGATAAAATTGGGAAAATGAGTATAGGTTTAAATCCTGGCCAAAGACACCTTTCCTATGTGACTCACTAATTTTCTAATCCAATTATCCTCCTCTTTAAGGAGATTTCTGGGCACCAGTCATGTCTCCAGGTGCTGCTCCCATAGGCTCTCATATCTCACGGTTCCCTTTCTTCATGAGAGTTCGTGTGTAATTGATATCACAATACACACTCCACAAATTAAACTGACAATAAAATTTGTACTTGCCTGAAATGGGTTTTGAAAAGGATGTTAGTTGCTATTTTGTTAGACGGTAGAAAGCTGAGGCTTGTCAGGAACAGTATTGCAGGAACTTTTGTACTGGGCAGGGAGGAGTTTGGTCACTGGCTGATCTCCAAAACCAGTGTGAGATTCTGTGATTCTAGGTGTCTCGTATGTTTTATGAACTCAGTTGTGAATACTGAATACCCACAATTATTATTATTGCCCTAATAATACTAGGATGTTGTGTCATCCCTGGTCCTTGCAGTGACTGTGGTCTGATGATAATGAGTGAAGAGGTCAGGGGACTAGCCAACACGGAGTGGCTC